GATTTCTCTTCTCGAGTGGTGAGTGGAGGACACCGAACCCACGGCATTTTGTTCCGTCGCTGCTCGTCTGCCCCCATCTTGTACGCACTCATCTTACCCAAGCAGCTGGTAACACAAGACCTCGCTTCACATGTGCTACCCCCAGCGCCCAGTCCCAATGGGCCGTGTATTACCGTCAACTCGAGGTCTATCCGATGCATTCGTGGCCAATTTTTTTTCCGGATCTGCAAATACGGATTCCACCGCGGCATGGCAGTGGAGTACCTATGCTGAGTATTGTTGCATTTTTAGACATTATTACAGCTTGTGCTTCGTTTTGACTCGTTCTATTTTATTTACGTACTTGATTATAAATTAATTGTGTTAATAAGAAATCGCAATAAGCAAACCGACAAGCTAATTATTGTAGAAATTGTATTGTTCTTATGTTTTTTAATTCTATATTAAATTTTATGATGAAAAATAAATATGAAAAAAATCAAAAATCATGAAAACTCATTTCATGTGTCCCCTGCAAGAACGCTGGGCACCATTTCTCATTGCATAACAGCTGCTTGTTTTATGACCAAAAGCGTATACACTGGATAAGACCACCGGCTCGTCCCGCGTGGGACGGCTTATGACGGATACCGCTGGCTCTCTCGGCTGTCGACACCCTGGGCGCCGTGTGCTCCGTTCGCTTTCCTCTGTCTGCGGCGTCCCGGGATGGTTATTTGGCCGGCCGAGTAACGAGCCACGGACGGGCTGATGTGACCCCGGGGGCCGTGATGGCTCCATCTCTGGCCCGCTCCGGCTTCTGACACCACCCGGCTCACTGGTGAGGCCCTCACACCATCAGTACGTGCCTGGGAGTGAGCTCATCGCCGGGCGGCCAGGCCGTCAGATATGTACTGATCAGCCTCCCATTCGTCTCCCCACTGCCGTTATGACCGGTATGGTGCAGATTAGAAGGAGGAAGCAGGGCTCCCCAGGTAGCCGTCATATTGGTACTGAATGTAAATTATCAAGAGTTTTGGAATGATGCCGTGATGCATGCATGCCATGAAGCATAAGAGTTATAACACATGTCGTAATAAAAAGTGAAAAAATGAAGACAGCAAAGCAGCCAAAATTTACTTTCTATCAACGGCCTGTGCCATTGCAAGCAGTTTGATGTGACCTTTACCAGCCTCGTCAGGAACCAGGCGCTGAGCTATGGGCCTTCATTATGCAGTTTCATTATCTTTTGTAGCATGTTTTTATTTGGGGACCATAAATATTAAACGCTGGGTATGGACGGTATGGTGCCACCGGCTAACAGTTGGACGTGGCTGCAGTGAACATTCAATATTCATATGCCTGGTGATGTAAAAGCTTGGCGGCTAGGTTCGCTTAGGTGCTTTATGATGCAAGAAGGGATGAACTATCACGGCCTACCTGCATTCATGAACTACTACCTTTTATTGTACACTACCATCTACTATTACCGAGTTTGCTTTGTATCTGTGTATTTCAGTGATCTACTGGCTCAATTTCAGAATGCGCAAAATTGTTGACGGACACGTGTATTTTTATCACATTTGTTAGCAATGAGAGTTTAAGCAAAAACAGATAGAGTAATTGACCTAAAAACAGTCCTTTTTGCCACCCGAAGCTGACAGCGTGATCCAACTCAAAAGAAGAAAAAAAACTGTAATATTGCTGAGTACGGAGTACTATAGATAGCCCTTGCATTACCTAGCAAATATTGCTCTTGTGTTAACGGGCTTCTTCCAAGACTATATGCCACTCTGGCTTTCGAAAGCGTGAGGTGGGCATGATGATTATTTTGCAGAATATTATCATTACATTATCAGCGAAGCATGGAAGAGAAAGAACAACTACTTCCCGTGCTATAGGTATATTTACATCCTGACGCTTGATTGAAACATCCCGCAAAATATGAAAACAAATTAAATTCCTTGTGAAGCCAGGCAAACTCTGCGACAATCTCCGACTGTAAATAATTGACCAGGAGAGTCTCCTTCGGCAGAGATCCACTCGTCTCTATCCGCCGGGCCTGGCCGCCGTGTAAACTGACTGTGGCAGGCTCTGCGCCACGGGCCGGCGTCTGACCAGGCCACTGACAGCACCTCACCGACCCAGGGCTGACATTTTCAGCCACCGCAGGCCCGGGGAGAGGCCTGAGGCCTGAGGCCGGGGAGATTCCGGTACTGGACAATATGCAGCACCTGATCGAGGTAGCCGAATAGCTGGTGTAGAAGACAGAACATCTACGCGTAGGAATTAGTGCCACGAGGCCATAGCTGTCTCCACTCCTGACAGAGACGTGTCCCCTGTGTCTGCCCCTGACGGTGACATGTGCCCTGTCTCCGCCGCTGACGGTGACCTCAGCACCCTGTCTCCGCCCCTGACGGTGACCTCAGCACCCTGTCTCCGCCCCTGACAGTGCCCTGTATCCGCGTCTGACGGTGACCTGTGCCCTGTCTCCGCCCCTGACGGTGACCTGCGCTCGTTTCAGCGGGGTGCGGCCTGTCGGCCGAGCCGCGCTCGTCGGCCCACCGGCAGCCAATACCGCCGTTCCACGACGACCAGCCGCCGCGGCCCGAGTTCGACCCGAGCATGCCGCTCAACGTGACGGCGCTGGCTGGCAGGGACACCCGACTGGTCTGCATCGTCCGCAACCTGCGCAACCACACGGTGAGGCCCGCGCTATGAAAACTATAGCCTTACCCGTGCGGTACGTCAGACAGCCTGCGCAACTACACGGTGAGGCCCGTGATACGAAAACTAACCTAAACCTGACGGTTCATCAGACGGTCTGGTGAACGACACCATAGTCGGTATCACGCAGAGCTTGGGGAGCCATGAATACGGCAGGCTTCGGAGTTTATCTGGCATAACACCATTGACGCTGACCGAAGCGTCGATGATGCAGTGTCTAGTGCTCGTATATCCATCCGTCGAAGGAAGAGCATGCCATTTTGCCCCTGAGACCAGCTAATAGGTAAACTTTTAGTTGGCCACTCAACAAAGAGCTTTATTTAAACTGTGGTGAATTTCGACAAAAACTATTGCATCACACATCTGCTATGCGCTTTTCAGCACAGAGTCACAGACGCCCTAACTCCCTCCTGAAGTTTACTAGATGTGAAGCGCATCTTGAAAGGCAAACTCGTAAAAAGTCGACAGCCCTTCTACCGTCAGTATTACGGAAGGGGGTTGATTTTTCCTACTTCTGCTCGAATCAACTCACCGTCCCCAATTAGGAGATTTAGCACGACTGCTTCCGTCGAACAAAGCCATTGGTTGGAAGTCAGGCCAGAAATTACTTCACCATTTCTTCCCGCACGGAAGAAGTGGCATAACTAATACTTCGCTGACGCCTGAACCGATTGTGCCGCAGAGAAAATCACCGACAGCAAATAAATTTAGCTGGCACCAAATAAATGCCTTCTTCGCTGTGTGAAATAACCCTAATATATTTAACAATCGCAGCGACCAGAAATATTGCCAGCAATAATGACTAGCAATAACCCGAAACGCAGCGTTCCAATGTTCAGTGTGGTAGTCACCTCATCGCCTGCCGTCTCAGTGTGTTTTATTTTAGTCTTCTGCTGAGCCCGACCGCTTTAAACATTATTTATTGAATCTAACCATGCATATCACTCATGCCAAGAAGAGACACTCAATCATGATATATGGCTAATTTGACCCAGGCTGCTTCATATAATCGGCTTCCACTTCCGCATGATTTGGTCAATGGCCTCTACATCTGAATTTTCCTGGTGTACTGTACATACCAGACTTGTAAGCGATTCAAAAAAATTCAATCAATTCAATCACGACTCACTTGATGAAATGACCGATTCAATCATAACTCAATCAAACAGTCTGATTTTCCAAGCGATTCAATCACGACTCATGGACCTTGTGATTCAACTCAATCGCGACTCATCCCATTATCAGTGATTCAGGGAATGACTCAACTCATGATTCAGCTCAACGCGATTCAATCAACATGTTATATATAATATATACATATGTGATATCAATTTAAGAAATTTTTGGAAACTGATACCAAACTGATACCAACCAAATACACTGGGAGAATACCAAAAAACATAGAAAAGTACTAAGTCTATACTGAACTCAACAAAATTGTAGGTATTGATATAAATATGGTGTAAAGATGATAATTTAAGTACAGAATACACAAGTTCTGTTACAAATGAAGCTACCAGAGGACTTATAAATTTATTCATCTGCCTGACGCTTGCAAAAGGAAACATATGCAAAATTTCACAGAACTCTTACAACATATTATTATCAGCATCTTCGAAAAGGACCAAAATTTGCAAATCAACTGTGATACCCAAACTAAAATAGCTGGTGATCAGCCATATCAAAAAAATATTGATTGATACTTTATGAAGCAGTGGTAAAGCCGGTAAAGTATTACACAGGACCAGACATTTTCGGCGCGCTACAAGTTTTCGTTACTAGGTATCAAGACTACGGATTATGGACACTTACGAAGCTATTCAGTAGTTACGTAATATAAATTTGAATGCTCTCATGATAAAACTACCTCAACCATCCATATCTTCAAGGACAAAAAACAATTCCCAGCCCCCCACGACACCAAACTTCATACGAGGCGGAGCTTTGTAATGGCCTGGCTACACTATGCGTTTTTTGCGTGATTTTTTTGCTTTTGAGAGTTTGCATGATTTGCGTAATGTGGTTCTAGAAAGAAACGATATTACGTTTTTGTTATATTTTTTTATAAAAACTATTAATTATCATAAAGGCTTTATTAAGTTTTATATAATATACGCAAAACACGCAAACTCGCAAAAAAAAAAACACGCAGAAAACGCATAGTGTAGCTAGGCCTTTCTACGCATGCGTTAAGTGGGCAGCCATCTTTTATTCAGCAGCAGACCTATATAAAATGCATAGTTTATATTTTTAGATTCAATTAAGCATATTTATGTATGCGTGTAAGTGTAAAACAGTTTTTTATTCTGTCCAATCTATTAAAGAAAAAATTATCGAACCCAGTACTAGGTAGTTGCAGCGTATATTGACGCAGCTGCGACATAAAAGCATATTCTGCGTGGTTTGCATGTGGCAAATATTGCGAGCAGTCTGGCAAATCTCAAATCCAAATTTAGCATCGAATGCAAAACTGTTAGCGGTCCTCAAAATTAGAAGGCGAAGAACATCAAACGGATCAAGATTGTTTGTTCAGCTATGAAAACAATAGTTTTGGGGACTAATACTTCGGCAGACCAAAACCGGGGTTTCTACAAGGCCGTATAAGTTGGTTTCTACACCAAATCTGTGATTGCTGTCTCACCAAATATCGGTATGTGTTGCACCAAATAAATTACAGGTTATTTGAATTTTGAACCAAAACCAGAATTTCTGCACCAATCTAGTCTTTTCTACTAAATTCTGGAAGGTTGCCAGGTATTTACGTTTACGTGTGGATATCTGCACAAAAAAGCGTAACAATGCACCAAATGTAATTTCGCCGCTCCTGAACAGTTTCCTGAACATTCCTGTTTTGGTGATCAATTTTGCTTATTTTGGTAAAACAAATTCCTTATTTGGTGCTAACCAACCCATTTTGGTAAAAGATGTCACATTTGATGAATATTTACCAAATTTGGTGCAATTTTACAGTTTTTGGATCTGACAAAAAATGTAAGCCAATAGTTTTTGGGTGATAGTGGAAGTGAAGTGAAGGTGGTTGAGTTTTTAATACCTAGTAGGGTATGTATCTACTTTTCGCCATTGTATCTTTACTTTTGTGTAATTGAGAGCCATGGCAGTATGTGACAGATCCATTAATGCTCGTAAGCCAAGGTATTCCAATTATTTATGTTGATAGGTAAACGCTGATTCTGCTGGGAAATGTAAGGTGAGTTAGAAGACCATGGGTTAGATCAAGCAATTTGTGACCCTTAGCCCAAAATCAAATCAATAACTAAGGTTACCAAATTATAATGTGAACATGCATTGTGTATTCATCAATATGCTTTGCCTGCTCACAAATGTCCTGATGAAACAGGGTATTGAAAATATAAAGATTAACATGATATCTTAAACATGTGTGTTGAGCAATGTGCGCCTGCTTACTGCTATTGTTAACTTGATTACTATACTGATTTTAGGGCAATTGAAAAAACATGCATTTTTCATCTTCATGCATTGACATATATGTATAATTTTGTGTTTACAGTTTGATTAAAAACTTTAAACAAAATTTTTATGTTTTTTCAATTATGATAGCGGTGCGCATTTATAATACTGACAAAATACCTAAAAATATTGCAGTGCATTGTGTGTGTCTATAATGCAAATGCCACATATATTTCTACATAATGTAGTACTAAATATGGTCATAGCTTCAATTTCCAGTACATGCTGATTGAATCATTTTGTTGATTCAATCAACTTGAATACATGAGTTGCCGACTCAATCACTTGTAGTTGCCATGTGTGACCGATTCAATCACAACTCATATGGTGACAAGCGGTGATTCAACCGACTCAATCACAGTGAGTCGGCATTTTCAATCGATTCATAAGAATCGATTCAATCAGAGTTGAATCGCTTACAAGTCTGGTACATACACTGTACAGGACTGCTGTATGTTGATGTCTTATTTGTCTTAAAAACACTTCGCTGAACACCTTTCGGAAGCCCGTCGGATAATCACAGTCTGGAGCAGTAGTTCAGTCTTTACAGCTTGACTTGCATGGTAGGCTATATAAAATATATCAAGTGCGCAGGAAATGGGAATCGATATCATTTTACGCAGCTGGTTAACTGTGCTTACGATGTGCATTCAGATTGACCCATGTAATAAAAGCGAACTGAAGAAAATATAGGACTATTTTCACAACAGGCTACCACTATAACGCTATTAGTTGAACTAGGGACGCGAAATACATATTACAGTGACTCTTGGAAAGGTCAAACTCTAACGTTGATCGAGGAACTAATGCATTGAAATTGAAAACGTTCGACAAAGATTGTGGGAAATTTAAACAAGTTTGGAGAGCGCGCTCCTTTGTGACCATGTCTGGGGCCAATAATATCACGATGCTGCACGGTGAAATGCCTAGAAATGGCTGCTAACGTAAATGTGCCATTGTGTGACTGTCCGATTTTGAACCGAGCTTTAAAGTATGGAACTCGTTAGAGCTGGCACAATGGTAATCCGATCAGCGGGGAGGTCTTATCTCTGAGCTCCCATGGGTCGCCGGGTGCGCCTCAGAGTCTGCTGGGGCGCCGGGCAGGGTGGCCCACCTGGTGACGGGACTGGTGGCTGATGGGGCCGGCCGGCCGGTCCCATCTCGCCCATATGATCCGTCTCCTGGTGCGACTCGGCGCGGCAGTGCTCCGGTCCGAGTGACTGATGACGGTCGGCGCCGGGCTGGGTCCCCGGCGGCCGGCCCGGCGCTACAGACGGACAGCGAGACTGCACAGGGACGCTGACAGCGGGAGCCAGGCTGCCGAGGCACGGCCTCCGTTCCTCCGAAGGATGACCGAGGAGGGTTTCAATGGCGCCTCTTTATATATCTCTTCTTATATTATTGTGTAGAAGAATAACCTTATGCTCATATGATAAAATGATATTAAAATACCACCAAAGAATGTCATCGATATTGATCTTTTTTAT